AATACCAACCAACCACAGCTCCCAGGGTCTAAACCACCAGCCTGGGAGCACTTAGGGGGGGATCCAGGGCTTCAGCTGAATATGTAAAAGTGGAGGGCCCTGCTGGGCATAGGTGGAAGAAGAGAACCTTGACCTCATGAAGGCTGGATGCCCCAGGGGGTGGGAATTTTGAGGGTGGGGAGGTGGGAGTGGGGGGGGTGTAGATAGAGGTTACATCCACAGAGAAGAAGGAGGAGGGGCGAGGGGATTGGGGGTTCGGAGGGGGTGGTGGGGGATGGGGTAATGGGACAACATAGGAAATGTAAATAAATCATCCAATAAAAAAAAATGGTAAATACTGAGACCTTCAAGACAGCCCTAAGTCTGTGGGAAAGAACTCTAAAAGCGTAAGTTCAAAAATATATAATTTCTCAACTATGCAATACATAAGGATTCAATATGAATTATATGAGGGGCTTCTCAGACCAAGAAAAAACAGAGGCAACTGCACTATGAACCAGCTTGTCAGAAAGATACCAAGGAAGGAGAAAAACAGATAGATATTAGGTTGATGATCGAAGGGCAAGATCCCACCCAGTTATCTTATTGTTTGTGCTTGTGCTTGCTCTCTTTCTAAGAGTCAAGGGGCTGGGGTCATGGGATGATGATTCATGGAATAATCAAAAGGGAATCTGGAGTAATGACTGTGTTGATATGTAAACAAAAGACTGGGCTTTTGGTCTCCATGAGATGATCTAGCAGAGGGCTATAGCAGTTCTATAGAGATGAGCTGTCTGACGATCACTAAAGAGTAAATATAGCTCTCTAAGAGTTTTTTTTTTTCTAACAGAATTTCTGATTTTGGTCTGAAAATCCATTTAGAGCTAACAAAATTCTTTTAGAATTTTTCATAACTCTTTAAGATTTTTTTTTCTAACAGGATTTCTGACCTTGGTTTAGAAATCCCAAGAATTACTTAGAGATCTAACACAACTCTTTTAGAATGTTTTCTAGCAGCTATCCAGAGAAGGCTGTCTAAAGAGCAAACACAGCTCTTTTGGAATGTTTTTTGGCTTTCTGATTTTGATTGAAAACACAAGAATTACTTTTAGATTTTTTCTAACAGGATTTCTGATTTGGTTAGAAAATTCAAGAATTTTTATAGTAGTTTTTCTGACTTTGATTGGAAAATCCATGAGCTATCCAGAGAGCTTTTAGAATTTTTTCCAGCAAGAGAGCTATCTCAAGAGAGCAACTACAGAGTCAAGAGCTATCTACAGAGAGCTTTCTAGAGAGTCATCTGGAACAGAACACAGGCTCTCAGCTTGGACTCATAACTTGACTTCAATCCTTCCCTCTCTTGCTAGGCTTTTTTTTTTTTCTTGGTTTTTCGAGACAGGGTTTCTCTGTATAGCCCTGGCTGTCCTGGAACTCACTCTGTAGACCAGGCTGGCTTTGAACTCAGAAATTCACCTGTCTCTGCCTCCCAAGTGCTGGGATTAAAGGCGTGCACCACCACTGCCCGGCCCTTTCCTTTAACTTTTTTTTGTTTTGTTTTGTTTCATTTTTTTTTTGTTTGGTTGGTTGGTTGTTGTTTTTGCTGTTTGCTATTTTGAGACAGGATTTCACTGTGTATCGAAAACTGATCTTGAAATCACTATATAGCAAATTCCTGGCTTGCTTCTTTTTAAGTTGGTGGATATCTGTTTTGCCTTAGAGAAAAATAAATAAATTCAAACCACAGCACACTGAAGACAAACATCCACAAAACTTTTGAACTCAATATCCAATATATCCAGTACTTAACATACTCCAGTTCAGACTTGAGTCTCAACAAACTTTCCCAGGAAATAGGACATAGGGAACATTGCTTCTCTAATACTAATGGTCTGCTAGGCTCTCACTGCACCTGGCTGCCTCTATTGTTCCACTGCACCAAGTAAACTGTCTAGCAGGCACCCTAATTTAACCAGCAAGGGACAAAGCATGGGGCAGCAAGAAAAGAACCACTCATTCCATTGTAGGTAACAATCATCAAAGAAGAGCACAGGCCTGCTCTTTTCATCTGCCCTCACCCTTACTCTGTCCCTGGCTCCTTCCCAACCCTTCATAGGTAGATCTTGAATTATCTCTTGACTGCTTCTTAGCTTGGGAACCAAAATGTAAACAGGGGTTTTCCTTACCTGGTTTTCTTTTCCTGGAGTGACTCCAGTATCCTCTGTACATCAATCATATGGCTTTCCTTGAGGCTTTGATGGGAGACCTGAAGGCTAGCATGAACCTTCTTGGCTTCTGTCAGTTTTTCCTTCATCTTCTGCAAAAGCAGCTTTTGTTGCTGGGCCACATACTTTTTGTCTGAGAATTTCCTCTGCTGCATGCCTGACAAGTGACTCTCTAGAGTAGAGGACCTAGCAACGTTGATGGGCAGGCTATCTTCCCCACCTGGCTTAGACAACTTAGAATGTGAAACCTTTCCACCTGGCTCCTTATGGCTGTCCATGCCACTTCCCACTTTCAGCACTGAGCTTGTGGGACTGTAACCCACCTCCAGCTCTTTCAGCTGCTGATGACACTGATAGAGTTTTTGTTCTATGTGAGCAATAGTGGCAGAGGTGCGCTGGTTCACCCTCTCAAAGGCCTTCCGGATGTGTGGGGCCTGGTGTCGGTCAGCTTTGGATACCAGCTTGAGGTAGCTCATGGTATTTTCATCCCTACTGGCCTTCTCCACTCTCAGCTGCTCTGAGAGGTAGAAGATTCGATGCTTGACACCTTCCCTCACATTCCGGGCAAGCTCGCCATCTGAGAAGCTAGTGTGACTGCTAGGGCAATCCTCACGGGAGGAAGACAGAGACCTGTAGGAGGGCACGTTGGGAGGGAGGGTTGCACTTGAGCTCTTGGTACTTTCCACCTGCATTGGGAAACAATAAAACATAAAACAGGTGCTTTGTGAGCTTCAAATAGAAGATTTGAACATGTATGGAGTCACTTCAGAAACATACTTGTGTGCATAGACAGTAATGTATACATAATTTGTGTATTCACAATGGGCCCAATGCAGACTGTGGGAAGGTGGGGTTCATTTTCTGGGCCCCAACTTCCTCCTTTCAACACCTACTCCTTGCCAGTATCCTACTACAAATCTCAGATGGGTATAAACTGATGTCTACATCAGCCTCATCTGCCCTTGAATCTCTCTTCCTAGTATCTATTCCAAGAATTCTCATTTATTAGGGGTGGTTCTTATAAAGTAGCAGTAAACTTATTCCCATTAATCTATGTGACTTTCTGTAATGCTATTTCTGAGAGATAGGAGGAGAGGTAGGTAGAGAAATTTCTATGCTAACAGGTTTATTCATTCATTAAATCATTTGTCCCACACGTTATTTACTGAGCATTAATGAGACAAGGTACGCAGGGAGTCAGCTGAGGGCAATGTACTACTATACAACAAAGGAAGTAAACCACAACATTGAGGCATATGAAGGAATCTTACAAGCATATTGGTGAACAGAAGAAACCAAACAGAAGACCTCACATAGTATCTGGTTCTGTTTAGATAAATTTTAATAGCATGCAAAAATAAGTAATCTTGTATAGGGATGTCTACATAGGTGACAAACTATAAAGGCAAAGCCTAGTCATGAGTAGCATAAGTGAACTGGAAACTTAAGGGTTCTTTGGAAAGTCAGTTGTGTTAGAAGGTATTTTGTTGGGGCAAACATATGAAGGAGTGTACACATATGAAGGAGTGTCAGTCAGCTTTGAATACCAGCTTGAGGTAGCTCATGGTATTTTCATCCCTACTGGCCTTCTCCACTCTCAGCTGCTCTGAGAGGTAGAAGATTCGATGCTTGACACCTTCCCTCACATTCCGGGCAAGCTTGCCATCTGAGAAGCTAGTGTGACTGCTAGGGCAATCCTCACGGGAGGAAGACAGAGACTTGTAGGGCACGTTGAGGGGGACACAAGTAAAAGGCTAAGGCAGACTCATGAAGGAATCCTTAGCTGAAGCAGACACAAGAGAAAGGATGTTCTGCTAAAGCAAGCACATGAAAGGACACATGATGAAGGATTCTTTGCTAATGACACACATGTATTGGTCCACCTTACATTGCATAGTTGAGCTCCATTTGTCAGGACTTTATAGAGAGAAATGCACCAAAAAACTTCTGGTGATGTGCTGCAATTTCTTGCCACTTCTGAGGACTCGGGCTGATTGGTAGAGTAATGTCAGCTAAGACAAACACACGTGCTGAAGCAAGACTTGTGGTGAGGCAAGACCCATGGAGGACATATGATGTTTGGAGGGTATAAATAGGACTTGATGGACAGTGATGGAGGCTGAGCTAGACTTGCTTATAGAGTTAGCTGTGCAAAGCTTGTTGGTTCCTCATCTTCGCTGATCATTGCTTTGCTGAGAGGCACAGCTGAGAACTTCTCTTGGCATCCCTCTGGGTCCCTCCTGCTGACTTGTGCCTAGGCAGAGGCCTGGCTGTCTCTGCTAGGTAGTGCCACCACTGCTGATTCCTGTCTGCTGTCCCGACTCTACCAAGCTGGACTTGGTATCCGTGAAGTGTTTGTGAATGGATCAAGCAGCAGGTGCTGCTGACCTGTGAAATGAATTGCTGATTTCCAGACAACACAGATGGGAGTTGCTCCAAAGAACCTTTCTAACAGGTCAGTGGACCTTCCCCCATATCATTTCTTTTCCACTACCTCTGGTAGATGGTGGGCAAAAAAGAGGTTAAAGAGTTTAATAACCATCATTAAAAATAATGTTTGAAGAAAATTAAAGTTACACATAAGCATCAGGAGTAGGATTTCCCTGAAGGTAGAAGAAAGGGTTGTGACTATAAGGGAAGTGGAGACTACAATTCTTGGTCTGGAAGAGAGTTATTTACATGTTTACCTTACCATTATTACTTTTTATAGGCATTGAGAACATCAATTAATATTTTTAGCTGTGAACCTGGCCTTTAATGGCTGAGTCATCTCTCTAGTCCAAGAACAACAATTAAGAAATAGGATCTGAATTTTTTTCTCCTTGTACAAAGCTCAAGTCCAAGTGGACCAAGGACCTCCACTTAAAACAAGATACACTGAATCAGATAGAAGAGAAAGTGGGGAAGAGCCTCAAACACATGGGCACAGGGGGAAATTTTCCTGAACAGAATACCAATGGCTTATGCTCTAAGATCAAGACTCAATAAATGGGATCTCATAAAATTACAAAGCTTCTGTAAGGCAAAGGACACTGTCAACAGGCCAAAATGGCAACCAACAGATTGGGAAAAGATCTTTACCAATCCTACATCCAATAGAGGGCTAATATCCAATATATACAAAGAACTCAAGAAGTTAGACTTCAGAGAACCAAATAACCCTATTAAAATGAGGAACAGAGCTAAATAGACAATTCTCAACTGAGGAAACTGGAATGGTCAACAAGCACCTAAAGAAATGTTCAGCATCCTTAGTCATCAGGGAAATGCAAAACGACCCTGAGATTCCACCTTACATCAGTCAGCATGGCTAAGATCAAAAACTCAGATGATAGCATATGCTGGCGAGGGTGTGGAGAAATGAACACTCCTCCATCGTTGGTGGGATTGAAGGCTGGTAAAACCACTTTGGAAAACAATCTGGTGGTTCCTCAGAAAATCAGAAATAGCTCTACCTGAGGATCCAGCTATACCACTCCTGGGCATATACCCAGAAGATGTTCCAACATATAACAAAGACACATGCTCCACTATGTTCATAGCAGCCTTATTTATAATATCCAGAAGCTGGAAACAACCCAGATGTCCTTCTAGGGAAGAATGTGGTACATTTATACAATGGAGCACTACTCAGCTATTAAAAACAATGACTTCATGAAATTTGCAGGCTGGATGGAACTAGAAAATATCATCCTGAGTGAGGTAACCCAGACACAAAAGGACACACATGGTACGTATTCACTGATAAGTAAATATTTGTCCAAAAGCTCAGAATACCCACTATACAACTCACAGACCATATGAAGCTTAACAAGAAGGAAGACCAAAGTGTAAGTAGCAGCTTTATTTGTAATAGCCAGAAACTGAAAACAACCTAGGAGTCCCTCAACTGAAGAATGGATAAAGAAAATGTGGTACATCTACACAATGAAATATTATTCAGCTACTAAAAACAAAGACATCATGAATTTTGCAGGCAAATGGGTGGAAGTTGAGAATATCATCATGAGTTAGGTAACCCAGTCCCCAAAGGTCATGTACTGATTTATAAGAGGATATTAGCCATAAAATAGGATAACCATGCTACACCCACAGACCTAAAGAAGCTAAACAAGAAAGTAGGCCCAAGTGAGGAAGCTTGAATATCACTTAGAAGGGGAAATAAAATAGTCATAAGAAGCAGATAGAGGAAGAGAACTAAGAGGGAAGGGGGATGAGGAGGGGAATGGGGGATTCAGGATCAGGTGTGGGGAAGGACAGGAGAAATAGCTAGATGGTCATGAGAATGAATGGAAATATGCAACTGACAGAAGTGAGGAGGTGATGGGCATCTCCAGGAAGAGACAGAGACCTGGGATAAGGGAGGCACCCACGAATCAATGGGGGTGACCTTATCTGTGACTAGCTTCATTGGCGATATGGAATCTGAAGAGGCCACCTCCTGTAACCAGACAGGAACCCCAGTGGAGCAATAGAGACACCAACCCATCCACAAAACTTTTGACCCAAAATTTATACTGCCTACCAGAAAAGCAGGGATGGGGTATGGAGCAGAGAGTGAGGGAATAGCCAACCAATAACTGGCACAACTTGAGACCCATCCCATGGACAACAACCAATCCCTGACACTATTAATGATACTGTTATGCTTGCAGACTGGAGCAAGTTGTCCTTTGAGAAGCCTCACCCAGCAGCTGACTCAGACTGATGCAGACACTCATAGCCAATCAGTGGATGGAGCTGGAGGATTCTTATGAAAGATACAAGAGGAAGGATTGAAGGCCCGGAAGGTGATAGAAACTGCACAGGAAGACCTACAGAGTCAACTAACTTGGACCCTTGAGACTCTCAGAGTCTGAACCAAAAACCAAAGAACATACACAGGCTGGACCTTGGCCTCCCTGCTCATATGTAGTAGATGTGCAGCTTGGTCTTCATGTGGGTCCTGAACAACTGGAATGGGAGCTATCTCTAAAGCTGTTGCTTGTCTGTGGGGTATGTTCTACTAGCTGGGTTGCCTTGTCTGGACTCAGTGGGAGAGGAAGCACCTAGCCTGGCAGAAACTTGAAGTGACAGGGGATACCCAGGGAGCCCCCCACCTGCCCAGACAGGGAGGGGAACAATTGTGGAAGAGGGTGACTGGGAGGGAGGTACTGTGCGGTATGTAAAAGAAGTTAAAAAAAATATTTTTTTAAAAAAGAGGGCTGGGCAGTGATGGTGCACCATCATCCCAGCATCCCAGCACTTGGGAGGGAGAGGCAGGTGGATTTCTGAGTTCGAGGCCAACCTGGTCTACAGAGTGAGTTCCAGGACAGCCAGGGATACACAGAGAAACCCTGTCTCGAAAAATCAAAAGAGAGAGAGAGAGAGAGAGAGAGAGAGAGAAATGGGATCTGATGGAAGCTTATTTATTTATTTATTTATTTATTTTTACATTCCAAACACTGTCCCCCCTTCCTGGTCCCCCCACCACAGAGAACCTCCCCTTCTCCTTTTCTTAAGATATATGTTTATGCTTTCTTCACCTTTGTGTGCATATGCCAGATTCTGCAATTTTAAAAAATGTTTTAAATGTTCGATAGATGGATTTAATAGCAGATTTTATATGACAAGAGAAAAATGATAAATAGTAAAACAGACCTGGGGGGAAAAGGGTATTTGGAATCCAGCATAGAAGTGTAAAGAGATAGAA